CGACATCCTTCGATGTGTTTAATCATTTGCGTCGCGAGGAACCAACCCCGTTGGTCCTATCTATCAACTGATTGTTTACTTTTTCATGCTGCGAGAAATAATGACGTACCAGGATTTAATTTAAAATTGGGACATAAAAGCCATTTCAGGGATTTAATGTGTTTACAGAGTTGAAAACAGCGTTAGATCACCTGCATAATTAATGAAAGGGGCTTTTGAGTCTATATTTTAAGGGAACTTCCGAAGTATTTTTTAGAATACCCCCCTTGTAAAAATAAGTATTGGCTTCTACTAAAAACATTAAAAATGATATGTTGAAATTAATATGGATCTTAACAAATACGATATGCGTACCTACATACATGTATATGTACGTATTTACACACACACGCACACAGTTTTTAAGGAAACAAACTGTGTATATAAACGTACTGATATTGCATTTTTAACTATTCTCATACTTTAAAAAAAAAGTACATGATTGTACCTCGGAAGGAACGTTAACTGATGCTCAACGTTAAGGATTACAACCCTTTGGCACGCAAAAAGGATCGGGCAGAGGAACCAAAAACACTTTCAAATTCATATATTTACATTCAGTGTAATTTTATTTATGAAATCCATTAGGAATCTATTACATGTAAGTTCAAATCTCTATAACACACGCGAAACCTTGTCACCGCGCGGTAGAATATACAGTAGGAACTATATGCATTTTTTATATCTAGGAACACCAAAAATGTATATTGTTTAGACTCAATTTAATAAAAAAAAAAATAACTACCCTGTTAAATTAACGTAAAATACAGCAACTGTGCGTTTAAAATTAATTTGTCATTTTTATACCCCACGCAACAAGTTGCGTGAGGAATAATGTTTTTGACCCGTCCGTCAGTCAATCAGTGTGTCAGTCAGTCAGTCCTATTTTTTTGTCAGCGCAACTCTTCATAAACCGCTGCACAGAATTTCGTCAAACTTTTGCAGATATTCGGGACACAATGTGTAGATGTGCATACTACCAGGAAATTCCGATTCCTTTATTTTTTTCTGGGGATTTCGGCACTTTTCAACTTAGATTTTTGGCCACATCTTGAATATAGAGATGAACAGTTTGTCAGCGCAACTCCTCATAAACAGCTACACAGAATTTCGTCAAACTTTGCAGATATTTAGCACACAATGTGTAGATGTGCATATTACCAGGAAATTCCGATTCCATTATTTTTCTGGGAATTTCGGCACTTTTCAATTTAGATTTTTGGCCATATCTTGAATATAGAGATGAACAGTTTGTCAGCGCAACTCCTCTTAAACAGCTGCACAGAATTTCGTCAAACTTTGCAGATATTTAGCACACAATGTGTAGATGTGCATATTACCAGGAAATTTCGATTCCATTATTTTTCTGGGAATTTCGGCGCTTTTCAATTTAGATTTTTGGCCATATCTTGAATATAGAGATGAACAGTTTGTCAGCGCAACTCCTCTTAAACCGCTGCACAGAATTTCGTCAAACTTTGCAGATATTTAGTACACAGTGTGTAGATGTGCATATTACCAAGAAATTCCGATTCCATTACTTTTCTGAGAATTTCGGCACTTTTCAGCGTAGATTTTTGGCCATATTTAGCTTGAATATAGAGATGAACAGTTTGTTAGTGCAACTTCTCTTAAACCGCTGCACAGAATTTGGTTAAACTTTGCAGATATTTAGTACACAGTGTGTAGATGTGCATATTACCAGGAAATTCCGATTCCATTATTTTTGCCTTAAGAGTTTTGCCTATTATTGAAGAATATTTCCATCTAGGTAATAAGGAAATCCACTAGAATCAGCTTTTGTAATGAAATTTTCTGTGAAATATTTTATGACCTTAAAAGACCCCTATTGATTTTGAGATAAAAATATTAATGATTTAACACACACACAAAATCTTGGATAGTTCTCACCCCCACTCCCACCCCCCCCCCTTAAAATGGTGCTTTACCTTAAATAATTTCAGCACAGTAATATATAAACAAATTCTTATGACTACATCATAATTTTGTTCTCATCAACTATTTAAATGTGTAAATTGTCATGTGTTGGACATGGACTTACACTCATTAACAAATCGAAATCACTGAGGAATTTAAATAACATTTCGTCAGCATAACTCCTGCACTGAATTTCCTGAAACTTTGTAGGTATTTCAGACATAATGTATAGATTTGTATATTTCCAAGAAATTTTGATTCCATTATTTATCTAGAAACTTCAGCCCAATTAAATTTGTAACATACAAAGATTTAAATGTCCTTATATGCAAGAAGTTTTGATGTGATGATTTTTTGCCAGTAATGCCCCTTTTTGAATTATACTGTGTTTTTAAAATGCACTGTGCCATTCATTACGTGTTGCATTGTCGAGTTTTGGGGGAGCGTGAGGTATGTGAGCTTGCTCACTTTTTCTTTCATTTCCTCTTTTTTTTTCTCAATGTTCTTTTAATTGCGTTATTTAACTTTCCAACGTCACAAACGGCTCTTACGTCTATTATGTACACCGGTTCTGAAAGGCGCTAAGTTCATGATAAAAATTAACGAAATAAACAATTATGAAGAGAGAAAATTAGAGAAAGTAAATACTGATATAATGGGTTTGGGTTTTTTTTTTACGTTTCGCGTTAACGCGCGGTATTCAATTGTCGGCCAGGTGTGTTATAGGATCGACGATATCCAAAAATAAGATATCAATGCTTGAATGCGTGTAACTTTTTCCCAATCAAGTTGCGAAATCAGATACAAGTTTACCATGACGAAAATGTGTTATTTTTCCCTTTCACTCTAGAATTGTAATCATGAAAGAAAAAAAAACCTTTCGTGAAAACTAAATGAATTAGGACGTATTTATAACAAATGATGTCATTTAGGATCTTTATAATTAATTTAGTTGATGCAACTTCTAGAAAAAAAAACCTTGTTGCGTTAGATGGACTGCCAATGGAATTACACATATAGTTTTTCATGAAACAGACATTCATTTACAGGTATGTTTTTTTAAATTCATTTCATACGAACCCAAATTTTACTTCTACATTTTACTGACGGAATTTAAACGTCCTTCAGATCTTCGATGTAGTTTCTCATTTTCCATAAACAGCATCTAAAATTTTGGGCAAGCAACGAAAACATTTAGAATGTAGTGTAGCTATACAATATTTTCGTACAGAGGGAGATAATACATAGAGATTCAGATGCACATCTCCTCGTTTATTCACTAGAACACAGACTGTCCTGTTGCTCAAATGATTCGTCAAATGCGATACAAGTACAAGATTTCATTGCCAAATTTCTTTGTCCCCAATAAGATGAACCTTGTTAGGAACCAGTCTTTAACAAAAGACGTTGAGTGAAATTTCAAATTATGCACATAATTTTGTCATTGAAATATTTATAATCCCTGTATCCTTGTCAAATATTTGATTTTTGTTATTGAAAAACAACTAGGATTTTTTTTCCCCTACAGATGGAAAACTCTTAGCAAGAGAACACAAATGTTAATACTCAGAAACCTCGCTTTACAACAGAATGAATGCATTTCTTGTCACCATCCTAAAAAGAATAGTCGTAGAGGATGGATAAGATTCTGATATTGATATAAAAGAGAGTCCCAGCAGACATTTCTTGTGAAGTGATCTTCATGGGGGGTCAACAAACTCCTAAGTTCATTGCGTAATACAGTGCCAGAATTTCATACAAGGCAAATGCGGAAAGAGTTTTTTGCAACATGTGAAAATTTTGCTGGTGAACACATCCCACCACACATTTTACGATAAATTTATTCCACACTTACCAATGATGCTACTCATGACCAGAATCCTGCTAGTAGTCAGACTACATGAAGCTGTATCTGTATTAGCCCCAGACCCTGAATTGGTTGTTGACTTAAGACACTTAAGGATGGATTCTTGTCAGCATTTAACGTCGTCAATGGGTCTCCATAAATTATGCAAGTCGTAAAATGCAAAATTCATATTTAATTATACTGAAGGAAAAACTATTAGTAAATTTGTCAGTTTAAGTAATGTTGAATCTATTTCTTTTGAAGTTAATAAATTTTTCGTAATATTTTCTTTGATTTGCGACAATCGCCATAATATTCGCAGTTCGGTAGCGAATGTCAACATGTCCAGATCATTTTCCGTAGAAAACCCCGAGAGGGTTGTTTTGTACAAACTGTGAACATTATCGAAGCATTGCAGAAGCCCAGGGACAGTTATGACAAATTAAATTATAGTTGTTTATGCCCGGGAAATTCCGATCAGCCAAAAGGGAAGCTTGAACTTGAAGGTCACAAACATGTGCAAGATTGCAAATCCACGTTGTCTCGTCTGATGTCATGTCGTGTGCAGTGAGCATGTAAATTAGTTATATATGTCTGAAGATTTTTATAATTTTGAAATTGAATTCAATTACATGCAGGTTTGTATTGATTTATGGGAATTCGCACGGAAATTAAAGTCCTGTTATCAATATTTCGTCTGCTTATTCCCGCGACTTGTCAACATTTGAAGAGGATATATTTCGTGTATTCGTCAGGTTTAGGAATAATAATTCACAAAAATAGCATTTTTTGTGTATGATTACAACAAATTTTATATTTTTAACTAGCCTACTTTGTTCAAGACGGAACAATCATCAAGTTATTAGAAAAGTAAGGTGTTCCGCTTGGGTACAAATCAAACGGAAAAATAACTTGATATTGTACGTGGAAATATCCATAATATTGAAACACACAATTGTCTAATAAATAGAGCAAAATGAAACATTATTGTTAAAAAACTATTTATATTACTTTTTTTTTTTTAACTTTTCTGTACTTTTAGGATAAAAAATGTCTATTTATTTATATCCAATACCATACCTGTCAACATTCCAAATATTTTTGGGGGGAGAAAACGCGCGACGACCTTTTTTGATAGTAAAAAGTCATCACGCGTTCTTTTTGTTCATACTGATAACTAAGAAATAACAAATGATACACTTTCATGTTCTTTATTGTAATTGTAAGCTGCTGATTTAGTCAGTTTTAGAGTGTCCTTAGAAGGTTTCACTTGATGGCATTCCTCTTTACAGTTTATTTTAGCACATAGAAGACTACATAGTGTCTGATTGTCCATGGAAGCTCTTTGTTCTGTCTGTATTTTTCTCACAAGGGAGAACACCCTCTCACAATCTGCATTGCTGTTTGGGATACAGCACATAGACTGGGCAATTTTACTGAGAATTGGGAATCTTGGTGTTCCAGAGACTTTGTTGGTGATTTCCCCCATCTCTCCCCAAAATGAGTCAGACTCTATTCTTGTCTGCCCCTTCTCAAAGTTTGGAAGGTCACAGTCAGGAGAAACACTGAAATCCAGATACTCCTCTTCCAACTTTGGGAAGTCCTTTTCCTGAACTATGGCAGGGAATCTTCTGGCAATCTCCACTATAGACTGTAAGATGGTCTCTTCCCTTCTGTGAGGATTCAAGAATCCTAAATTGTTGACAACTGGGTCCTTGAATGGAAAGTGCTTTAGCATTTTCTTTGTGATGGCACAGTAGAACCCCCTTACATTCCTAGAATTGGACAAAAACAAAGAGGTATAATATCAATATGAGTTTTTGTATATTCATGCAACATTCCTTAATACATGATGAACACTGCATACCACAAATATTTGAAGGAAGTTTTTTTAGCAACTTATTTATTTACTTTCTTTACTTAAACTGAGCCAAGAACTGGCAGCTTAAAAAACTTAAAAGGTCAGAATCTAAACTTACTGGAAAAAATTTGCCAAGTCTACTGGTGGAATATCCTCATCATTCTCTGCAATGTAGAACCTGGTAAGAATTCCAACTGCAAGTATGTTATCTTGGAGCTGGTTTTCTGGATTTTGGAAGTCCACACTGATGAGGTCCTTGGAATTCTTGATTATTCCTGCCTTTATAAAACGGCCAAGGAATTTTCTTAGAAGTTTGTGGATTTCTTCTCCAAGATATCCAATCCTTGATTCATCGGCCTACAAAGATAGAAGAAGAAATCAGTACTTAAATAAGTAATATACAGTTCTGTAATTTTGTGACTTATTAAAACAAAATTACCAATATATTAAGATTATAGCTTATATACCTTAAATGTAGTGTTGAACTCATTCAATGGCTCCAACACATAACCTAAGAAGTGGAATGTCATCCTCATATCATGGCTTCTGAGGAGCTCTGCCACTCTCTTAACTCTTCCAGGCTTCTCTACATCACTGTGTGAGTTGAAGTAGCTTGTCAGAGCAGGCCAGTGGTGCAGCAGCCTTTTAACACACTTCTCAAGACTTAGCCACCTGGTTGAGCAGTGCTTCAGAAGTTTTGAAGGGTCAACATCACAGAAGTCCAAGTATTCCTTGTATGTTTCCTTACGTAATGCACTGTTAAAAGAAAAGAAGTAAAATCAAAGGTCAAGATAACAGATATAAAGTGTGCAATTTGAAACTATGTAAAACTGAAAACTAAGTTAAACATTACCAGTAGATGTATTTATTAGACTATAATATAAGACATTATGCATGTGGTAGAATCTATTAAAATATTTTCATTCATTTAAATCAAGAAATGAAATACAGATGAGATAAGTTGTTTAATCTTATAATCAATTTCCATGAATTTAAAAAAAATAGTCCAAGGGATGTTCATGTTTAATTCTTAGGAGAAAAACAACCCTACTTTACCCTAGACTAGAAAAAAGACTGGAGGTCAGAATGCAGGATGATTGAGCAAGGAGTGCTGGCAGATGGACTATTGAGGTACATACATGTATAAGAAATATGGACACAACTTTATCAAACTATCATATAATGCAGCATCTGTGCTGCTATGTAAAATATATTACTTTTTTTTAAATTATAGGTCAACAAAAAATTTGGACTTTACCAGGTGGACACGTGTTCAGCAAGAAATTCTCACATCAAATGAATGATGGCTGTCTGTGGAAAAGAGATTTTCTCAGAATATTTCATGCCAGAAGCAGGAATTACCTATTTATCTGATCAAAGAAATATTTTTATAGAAATGTGGAAGTCAATGCATGTTATCAAAGTCACTGCTGCTTCTTGCATGTTTCCATTCTTGATTTTTTTTAGAAACTTTCAGTCAAAAATAGTTTTATGTATAATCATATAATGTTTAATTATTTGATTCCCAAGTACCCGATACAGTGCACACTTTGTAGAATGTGATTACTTTACAAAATCTTTGATTCAGATTTGAAATCTTACTCCCATAGTGAATTTTTCAAGCATTATCTTTCATTACATTACAATGTGAAGATTTACATGTACTGGCATTACAACAACTTGTAAATGATATATACCTAGCTCTATGTATTCAGTTGCTTTACATTTTCAAATACAGTTAAAATCTTAAAATACAGTTCTGGAATACCAAAAAATTGTGCCTGCTTTAGATCATTTAGTTAAAGGGTGATTTTAAGCAAGAGCATGCCGAACAAAATTGGTGGTAGTGGCCGGGTTAAAATTTAGATTTTTACAAATGAACTACATATACATGTACTTGCAGTAGAAACCCTTAAGAGGTAATTTTTAATTCAATTTCAATACAAGTTATTGACACTGATCAATAAATGTTTGTGCTACAAATTCTCAAAAAGAAATTTCATCCTTGAATAAGTATTTTGCATCTAAATGTGAAATTAAGTTTGATAGCTGCATGCATATTATTGTTACAAAGTTCAAGGATGTCATATTCAGGCAAAGATGTCAAAGGGCATTTGATTGTCATAGATGGCTTTTTTGTTATCTTAAAACTCCAGCAAATTTTACGCAATATATGATCACATTGAGGAGTTATATTTATTGGTGCTGAACAAACTATATACTTATAAATGTGTGTAGGTATTTATTGTCCCTCGCTTTTGCGAAAGAGAGGGGACATTAAATCTAAATGTCGGTCTGTCTGTCACAAAAACTTTAACCTTGGCCATAACTTTTGAGTGAGAAGAGATTGGGCTTTTGTATTTCACATGTATATTACCTGTAACAAGACCTTTCCAAATATACTGTGAATTTTGATCCCGTGGCCTTGGCCTTGAAGTTTGACCTACTTTTCAAAAAAATTAACATTACCTTAAATTGGTCATTACTTTTGAATGAGAAAAGATAGGACTTTCATATTATGCCTGTTCATTACCTGTGACAAGACCTTTTGAAATTATACTATGACTTTTGACCCCGTGACCTTGATCTTGAAGTATGACCTACTTTTCAAAAATTAACATTTCTTTAAATTGGACATTAAATTTAAATGAGAAAAGATAGGGCTCTCATATTAAATATGAACATTACCTGTAAGAATACCTTTCCAAATGTACTATGATTTTTGACTCCATGACCATTACCTTGAAGTTTGACCTACTTTTCAAAATTTTTATCTTTGCTTATAACTTTTGATTTAGAATGGTTAGGGCTTTCACAGTTGACATGTGCATTAGTAGTGACAAAGTGTTTCCGAGCATGCTATAATTTTTTACCCCTTTACCTTGACCTTCATGTTTGTTTGTATGTTGTTTAACGTCCCTCTCGAGAATTTTTCACTCATATGGAGATGCCACCACTTGCTGGTGGAGAGCTGCAAATTTTGTCCTATGCTCGGCACTTACGGCCATTGAGCAGTGAGGGATCTTTTTCGTGCCAGCACCTACTGCGACACGGGACCTCAGTTTATACGGTCTCATCCGAAGGACCGGTCTCCATGTCCCACAGTGGGATTCGAACCCGCGACGTAAGAATCAACTCCTTACTTCGCGACTCTATAGCAGACGCTCTAACCACTGCGCCACGCGGGCGACCCTTCATGTTTGACCTAAATTTCAAAAATTTTGTATTTGGTGATTACTTTTGAATGACATATGATATGGTGTTCGTATTTGACAAGTGCATTACCTGTGTCAAAATGTTTCTGAATATGCTATGATATTTGACCCCGTGACCTTGACCTTCCAGTTTGACCTAATATTCAAACATTTCATCAGTTTGCTAACTTTTGAAGGATCAAAGATAGGGCATTCATATTTGACAAGTGCATTACCCGTGACAAGCATTTCCAAATGTACTATGACTTTTAATCCCATGACCTTGAAGTTTGACCTAATTTTTAAAGTTTATCATTGCTAATAACGTTTGATTGACAGAAGATATGGTATTTACATTTGACATGTGCATTACCTGTTTCAAGACCTTTCTGATTGTATACTCTGGTTTCTGATATTTTTTTTTACATGTGCATCACTTGTGAGAAAATCTTTTGGATTTTATTATGATATTTGACCTCATGACCTTGATTTTGAAGTTTGATGTAGTTTTGAGAAGCTATAGTCTTTGCAATAACTGTTATTAATTCAATAATTTATGTCTTTTTGTATGATGCACAGATAAGACAGGACAAACAAACAAGACAGTTACAATATGCCATAAATAATGGCATCCCATCCGCTATGACATTGAAAGAGGGGGACCACCATTCTTTGAATTTGCTTGTTGTTTTCAAAACTCAGTTTACAAATGTAAAATATCCAATAATAACATAATACCAAGGACCTATATGTATATAACTACATATATATGTATAGGCATATATATTAGTCCCTCTGATATTCATATATTAAGCATTGAATGGCATGTTCACTATACATGTATATTGATTTCATGTTTATGTCATAAATAATGTATTGAAATCTTTTCTAGTCTATGAAAATTTTATGTATGATTTTTCTCATAACTTTTTGAAAGGTTTATTATTTATTCGTAGTTATATTGAAGGTTAAGTTGCTTTGAATTATTCCTGTGCATGTGAAGAATGTATGTGATAATTTTTCTGTAATTGCCACTAGAAAATTGATGTATTTTATAAAATTGTCAAACATAACATTCATAAGAATAAAATGACAGAGGAAATTCGAAATGAATATTTTGAATATCATTAGTGTAAAATACCATAAAAATAGAATGTATAACTGGTAGAAATGAATGTATTTATGTCACAATTACACCAAATTGATATATTTTTGGGGATTAAAAATCTTTCTTATAGACATTTAAAACACTCTGTAAATTGAATATTTCAGAAAGTATAGAGCAAATTTGGGCTAATTTTTTTCAGTAATTTGCCTGATTACTATATCTTTTTTACCTTGTAAATTAATCTTAAACCTTTGAATATTCATCAGACAAAAATCTAAATATTTGACATTATATGGTCAATTGTAAAAATTGAGATGAAATTTCATGTGAATTCATGAAAACTAGAATTTTGAAAAAATATCGAGGAAATTTGAATTAAATGTATTTATTGAATATAAAGGATTTCATGTTATCTTTTCACCAGCTTATTTCACATGAATTAGTCATCAAAAATAAGTAACAACTTTAATTTTATGGTGAAAGATATTTTTTCAGTCAGCAAAATTTATTCATATGCATAAATTTCAAAACTTCTCTGTGTAAAAGTACTATTTTTAGGACTAACTTTCAAATGACCTTGACTGAAAATCAAGGCCGATGACACCAAAGTTTTTGGATGTTAAAATAGTGTAAACAGTCTGAATATTGAGTATTCAGAAAATCAAGATTCTGCCATTATAAGAAATATGAGAAGAATCCATCCTTAATTAAAGTGGTTCCTTTAAGGATTTTTTTTTCCACTTTGGAGAAGGTAGTGATGTGGTGAAATTACAGCTGCTGATGACCGACGTTATGGTGTTGAACACACATCAAGATTCTTATCTGTGATCTGTGATCGAACTGGTGAAGTCAACATTGCCAGACGGGACCCCTGTCCCAAGTGAATCTACAGTATTACTGGCATCTGTGCAAAAAAAAAAATAATAAAAATAAAGCAAAGCTGTATAGTGGTAGAAACCTTTGCGCCTGAAAGTTCAGACAGGACAGCAAAGACAAAGTCATCAGGACGATCACTATTGTGCATGTTTAAAAAGATATGCTACAGAATACGCAGTGAAATTTGCTGATAGTGTTATGTTTATATGCATGGATGAGAGGGCAAAAGTTGATTTTGGAGAGCCAGGACTCTTCATCCTCTGGTTTAAGAGCTAAAAAACTATTGTTCCAAAGAACACTAATCTATCGTGCTTAGATGATGTTCAGACTAAAGGATCCCTAACACCATATGTAGTGTTGGATGTGTGCATTCCAGATAACGTCTCTGACTCCTTTTATTCTGGGGAGGTTAAATTTCAGTTACTTTGAAAGACAACATTTTCCAGCCAAATACACCTTTTTCCACGTAGTTGAACTGAAACATATCCTTCAAAGTAGAGACCACAAGAAACCTAAGGCTTGCTTATTCATCTACACTGACGGAGGCCCCGATCACAGGACGACATATCATGCAGTGAAGCTTTCTTTGATTGTTTTGTTTAGGCAGCTCAACTTAGAATTCCTTGTTGCACGCAGAACAACACCTAGTAAACGCATGGGCCAATCCTAATGAAAGAATAATGTCATTATTAAATTTAGCCTATCAAAACACTATTAGCTAGGACAGAATGTTCTGCAGAGATGGAACAGTATATAAAGGGGTGCAATTCTATGTCAGACATTAGGAAGAAATCAGAGTATCTACCTGGACTTTCCCATCCTCACAATGTCAAGGTTTTGTGATTTCGGAACTCCAAACAAACCCTTGACATAAGTCGTTATTTAAAAGTTGGGCTTGTGGTTACACATGACGTAATGGCTAATTATAAACTAACCAATGAGAATATATGTTTTCAAATCCGTCGTTATCAAATTGCCTAACTCCAGAGCATATCTTTTGTGATTTAAAGGAGGCCGATCTTCAAAAAATTAATTCCCGATGTTTTATTTAAAGTAACTAGTCACAAATCCTACAATATAGACACTTTCCATTTTAAAGACGAGTCATATTTGCTCACAAAACTTACCTACAATAAAAGATGTTTCTAATTGGTTCCAGACCTAGACCAGGAACAAATGAAATAGTAGCTTTCTAGCCCCATTTTTAAATAACGACTTGTGACAAGGGTTTGTGTGGAGTTCCGAAATCACAAAACCTTGACATTGTGAGGATTTTCCTTTCCCATTATGAACAGAACAAAGAAGGTATTTTTTTCTGACGTAAGAATAAATCCATATGCTAATTGAGGCACGAGCGTAGCTTTCTAACCGACCAAACAGCTAAATGAGTTGCATTACGAGTGAGTACTACAAAAATACAAGGAAGATGTAATTAATGCTTGAAAAAAGGCATTGTTTTACTTGCTTCTGAAAGATATTTTTATATGCACTTCAATCACAGATTAAATAAGAATCTACGATTTCCTTGCTCACAATTACAAACAATTGATTTATACACATATTTTTTATAATTTATAGTTTTGTAGTGCGATTGGTGGACAATTGGCTACATGTATTCCCGAGTATCGGTGAATACAAATTTCATGTGCATTGCTTGGTCCAAAACGATAGACGCTGTGGTTCCATGCATATTGTCATGTATAAAGGCTTTTGTTGACCATTTAAAGTTTGAAATGTAGTAGAAAAAAATGTGTAAATTGGCCTAAACCATGTGTCTGTGATAAAATATACTCATCTAGTTAACCGGCATGTTTTGTCATTCAGTCATCAAATTGGACAATTCTCTGTAAGCAACTATGTGCCAAATAATAACAATAACCATATAAGGTAAACTCCTCGGACATGCATATCACTCTTTTGTACTAAGACCCGCCTTTTCTATCCATCTTTATTCATAAAAGAACATATGGTCACAAACCAGGCTGAATTTTGCAATCATTGGGTCTAAAATTTATAGATAATGCAGTATTCTTCAAAATTATAAACAATACGAACTATCGACACTATTCAGAAGGTGTCATTTTCCTTCACTCTTGTTTGAAAAAAACCAGAATGATTGCAGATTTATTATAATTCATCGTAGAAAAAGGGGCCCCAGACCATATTTATGGCAATTCATCCTTTGAAAATTAAGCATTGATGTGTAAGATTTTTTTTACCTACCTACATGTACTCGCCCAACTTTTTTATCATGGGTCGGGAGAGGGCAACATAATTTTAAAGGTGGTCTTAGTTGTTCATAAATATCAATCATAAAAGTTTTGGAATGTACATACAAGGATATGTATCCCAGGAAAAAGAATATTTTTCAACTTCATATACATGCTGTTTCCTATGATTCCCAAAACAACACTCTTTTTTAAGAATTAAATTGGATTTTTTTGAAATGTGGAAATTAGGACCACACCATTGCCTTTAAAAGTTGATCTCCATGTATATCGAAATAAGCTCTTAGAATGACAGAATCACATTAAAACATACAGAAGGTAAATTTGAAATCGTTTTATGGTATTAAAACCATAACAACCATTTCCAACAAATAAGAATATCACATTTCTTCTTGAAATATGTTACAAGGGTTTCTTTTCTCTATCATTTGCTTGCATTTCAACGTCTAATTGTTTTTTTATGCCCCCGGATCGAAAGATCCCGGGGGTATATTATTTTTGTCTTCTCTGTCTGTTTATTTGTCTGTCTGTTGTAAACTTTAACCTTGCCCATTATGATAACTTTTGATTGGTTGAAGCGACTACTTTCATATTTCACATGTGTATTCCTTGTGACAAGACCTTTCTTTGGGTACCATCATTTTTGACCTTGGAGTTTGACCCACTTTTGCAAAATTTTATGAGACTTTAACCTTGGCCATAACTTCTGAACAGTTGGTGCTTGGGGTTTCAAACTTCACATGTGTATTTTTTGTGACAAGGCCTTCCTTTGGATACCGACAACTTTGACCTTGACCTTGGAGTTTGACCTACTTTTGAAAAACTTTAACCTTGGCCATAACTTTTGAATGGTTGGTGCTAGGGCTTCCATACGTCACATATGTAATTCTTGTGACAAGACCTTCCTTTCGATACCAACCACTTTAACCTTTACATAGGAGTTTGACCTACTTTTGAAAAACTTTAACCTGGCCATAACTTTTGAATGGTTGGTGCTAGGGCTTTGTATTCCTTGTGACAAGACCTTCCTTTGGACACCACCAACTTGACCTTGACATTTTACTTACTTTTAAAAAACTTTAACCTTGGCCATAACTTTTGAACAGTTGCACTAGAGCTTTCAAATTTCACAGGTATATTCCTCGAGAGAAGACCTTTCGTTGGGTACCAACATTTTTTATCTTTTGACCTGGATTTTGACTTGCACTTGAGAAACTTTAACCTTCGCCATAAGCTGCCATACGGGGGCATCAGTGTTTCACAAACACATTTTTTTTTTGAGTGTATGACTTTATGAGAATAAATGAATAAACTTTTTACTCTTGAGTACTTTGTTTTCCTAGTAACCTATGTGATAAATGGTTTCCTAAATATGATTATCAGACATTCACGACATTGAGCCTTCAACTTTTGGAAACAGTCATCCACTTTTCCTGCAAACGTTAGCCATGGGGCTCTGATTGTTCAAAAAATGGCATTTTTTAAACTTTAGGGCATGTTCCCATAGTAACCATGACACAACAACCAAGATTTTTTTGCCTGATCGTAGTTAACGGTATCAAAGACTTTTATCATAGAGAGTTTGGAGAAATTCTGAGACTATATATATGCGTACCCCAGCTCCTATATAAATGTTCAAGTCACTACAAAGAATGGCTCTTAATTTGCCTTGAAGAGTGTTAAAAAGTTTTACGTTTTGATCAGATGTTTTTAAATTTGGACTCTGCAATGTATCCTCGTTTGCAAGGACTTTTTATGAAGTCTCTTGGAATCCAATATATGTGCGATAAAAATATTCCTTTCTATTGAATGGAATGTTAATGGTATTGAAAACTGAAAGATGTTTTTCAGAATTTCATCCTTTGCAAGGAATGAACGTATATGTGGGATTATCAGATGTTGAATTAAAGCCCAGTTCTTTTGTTTACTGAAAACGAAAGAATAGATCCTACTCATTTTGTCTTTAAATTTTCTGACACATTCTTTAGTTTTGGACTTTATCTATTAATTCTGATAAAGTTTTGAGGCCTTCTCCTTCATATTTAGCCCATTGTCTGGCATATTCCTCGACAGAATTTATCATAGAAAGATTCTTGTGGCTAGTTCTTACTAAAATATTTTGATGTATCCACTTAAAACAATGGAAGGAGTATCAAATTTGCTTTTAAAATGTTTTACAGACATTACATCACTTCCTAGCTAAAATTACAAAATACTAATACATTTTAAATGTTTTACTGCATGATACAAATATTTAACAGACAAAAAGTTCACAAAAAATTTGAAGTACAAATATGTAATGGACAAAAAGTTCGCAACAAATTCACACCTTTGTGAAAAATAAAATTCTGACTAAAATGACATTGATATGAGAAATTCTCAACATTTTTTTCTGTCTAGATCTGACACTTCTTGCATAGTAAATATTCTTAGCTAGAATAACACTTAGACAGTTTTGATAGGAGTCTTAGAATCGGTCCTTTATGTGTCTTGTTCGTTGATTCGAATTCGTTACTTTTACATTCAATATCAGAATATGATTCATCCTTGACAACTACTCCTTTTAGGATGGTGAGAAGAAATGTATCAAGGTCATTCTGTTGTAAAAGCGAGGTTTCTGAGTATTTACATTTGTGTTCTCGTGCTAAGAGCTTTCCGTCTGTAAGAAGAAAAAAAAAGGTTATTACCAATAACAAAATCAAATAATATTTTATAAGAGTACAGTGACTACATTAATATTTCAATGAAAAAATTATAATTTGAAATTTTACTCACCTTCTTTTGTTAAAGACTGGTTCCTAACAAGATCCATCTTATTGGCCACAAGGAATATTGGCGAGGTAATCTTATACTTGTATCGCATCTGACGAACCATTTGAGCAACAGTAGACAAGGACCGTCTGTCTTCTAGTGAATAAACGAGGAGAAAGGCATCTGAATCTCTATGCGTAATCTCCCTCTGCAAGATAAAAACTATATAATTACATTGCTTTCAAAACATTTTGTAGATTGTCCAAAATCTTAGTTGCTATATGTGAAAAGGGGAAAATGAGAAACTACATTGAAGAATGCTTAAATGCAGAAATATATTTGAGTTTGCATTGTATGAAACATACCTGCAAACGAATGTCTGTTTCATGAAAAACTAGTTCCATTGGTTGTCCATCTAATGCAACAACGGTTTTTCGAGAGCTTGCATCACCTAAAGCGATAAACAAAAATCTTAAATGACATCTTCTGTAAAAAATATTTTTTTCAAATAATATAATTTTCAATTGTTTTTTTTTTTTTGGACATAAGAATTGGTGATTTACCTCTAAGTCTTTGTATAAGAGAAGTCTTTCCAACCTGTGGCGATCCAATAACATTGATCTTTACAATGACATTTTGACCAAGGGTTTCGTTCTTCTCTTCAGACCCAATGTAGCTTTTCAAATTCTTTCCCAACAAATTGGAAAACTGAAAAGAAATTTTGCAGTTGTACCCTCTGCAGGTAGTTTCAAAATTCGGAACCCCATCAACAGCATCGCAGTATCGGTGGTGAATCGCTGATGGCTGACAGACTTTCGAAGATCGGGGCTTGCGATAATTGAGGTGCTGTCCAGAGTTAGAACAGGTGTTGGAGCGATTCTGAACTACAGCATCTGTTGCAGATTTCTTCTTGTTTGCAAGTTTAAGAACTCTTCTTGGCGGCGTTGTGTTAAACATTATGATGCTAATTTTTAACTGAACAATGGTGAACGTAAAGTATCTTATATACTTTCATCATTACCACACAGATTATTCTCAAGTTTGATTTCATTGGATAATTTAAATTATGTTTTAAAAGATGACCTTTTCATCAGCATCGATACTTTCCTGCACTCCGCCTACCTATAATTAGCTACTCAATTAAACTGCTATTGTATTATATTTATTCTGTCATTTACCGAGTACTTATTCTATCATTTACGGTGAATATTAAGGAAAAAATATATATCAAGTGACGGGATAAGTGATATATGATTATTAATCAACGTAATTTTAAATCAATGATCGGAAACTGTAACAGATGGAAAGGTGGAGACTGCTCATTTAAATGTTTTTCCGGATTAATTTTCGTTATTCCTGAAATGAAAGTAATTTGCGGTATATAAAGTGTAGTAAGTAAAAAAAAAAAATGAAATATGTCCATAAGCTACAACAATCACCTGTGTTGTCTTGGCCCTATTGTTCATCAGAACAGGCTTTTCCATGAAAAATTTTGACTACATATTTTGGCCATATTCTAGCCTCAAGGGCACTCATGACAAACTGGAAACTACACAACAAGGGGATGCTAAATAATATGACTTACGTATCCCTATATTTAAAAACAAAATTCATGTGTCAAATTGGAGTCTTAGCTCCACGCTTATCCAGGCACTGTCTCTCTACCATCGGCTCATAACTTCAACTCAGCCAGTGGCTCGCTAGTATCACTATCATTAGCACAATATAGTGCGTCTATTTTTAATTCAGTTTAATTAGATATTTACAGTAATGATTGCCGTTTACGATATATATACAGGAGAGAAAAACACCATGTGCAGGTGACTGTGGAATATTACTATAGACATACATATAATTAAGGAAAGTTGACTATGGGAAAGCTGAAGTCATCTAGTTTGTCATACATTTTAGTTGCTAGTTGGTCCTTATCGTCCAACCGAAGTACTGAAACAGTGATATTAGTTGAATATGCGTGCAAAACTTGTAACAAATGGCAGGACTGAACATTTTTTGTTTGAATTGAGTACCGGGTAAAGTATTTCTGGCGAATAAAACTGCATTCAAAACCTTTATTTTTCAAATTCATCAGCTTGCATATTATTTTACCAATTTCTCGGTCTTACTAATGAAGTCGTGGGTAAGCTCATCAAATTACCTCTAGCAACGCAGGACGGATTATAAAGTGAAAAATAATGCATTGCAACCATCATATATATACTAATCAAAACTTCTAGCCTGCTACTCAAACATGTAACAGTGTTACTACCGGTTGTATCTTTATGTTGTTAAATAACGACTCGTTTGTATTTTGTAATCTTTAAAAAAAATCATTTTTTGTCCCCCGCTTTCACTGAAAGTGGGGGATATTAATTTGGGTCTGTCTGTCTTCCGTCCGTCCGTCCGTCTGTATTTCTCTGTATGTCTGTAACACTTTCGTTTCCGCGCAATATCTCAAAAACCCTTTAAGCTATCGCAATGAAATTTTCCATAGCAACTCCCTATGGCCTAAAGAAGAAACTTATTTATTTTGAGGTCAAAAGCTCAAAGTCATGAATTCTGTCTGTTTTATCACTTTCGTTTCCGCGCGATATCTTGAGAATCCTTTGAGCTTTTGCAATGAAATTTTACATAACAACTCCCTGTGGCCTAAGGAAGACCCCTATTGATTTTGAGGTCAAAGTTCAAGGTCGTAAATTCATACATTCCGTCTCTGTAACACTTTCGTTTCCGGGCGATATCTCAAGAAGCTTTTGAACTTTTGCAATGAAATTTTACACCATAACTCCCTATGGCCTCTCTCGCCCCTCTCAAAGTGTCCCCGCCCTGTTTTGTTTTTTTTTTTAAATTGTATTATTGGGACTATTTTTAGCACAGAGGCATGTGGAGAGTTATTACGCATTTATAATACAGGTTGTCGGCGGACTTTAAATTCTAATTATACGTCTATTAGAACTGTTTACTAAGGCTTAGTAAAGGCTAAATTCGACTCCATGTATTGTGCAAAATTTTGACAATATCCAACGTGAATATAAACACACTATGAACAAAAAATAAATGAATAAAAACATATAAACATTATATGCGACCTACTGTTTGCATTTAATTGCTGCATAATCAAGTGCCTCCGTGTTCTAGGGGGTATGATGCTCCTGGGTATTTTTGAAACAAACTAAGTACATTGTTATAATAAGCAATGATGCCTCTTCCAAGATTGTGAATTTCATGGCCCCAGGGTAAATGATTCTAGTGAAAAGGTTGGAAGGGGGGGGGGGGCTCTATTGATCATATAGTGAAAAAGCAAAATTTCGTTGAAAATATTCTTTTCTGCTTCTGGTTAAAAAGCAAAGAAGCTAAGTATATAGTTATGATGAGCAAGAGTGCTTCTTCCAGAGTAGTGAATTGCATGACCCTGGGTCAGATGTGCTGGTGTAAGGGTGAGGCTCTTGATAATATAGTGAAAATGCATTAATTCTATTAAATAATCATGTCTGCTCCTCAGTGTTAAGCAGGTAAACAAAGTGATTACTTATGATGAGCAAACTTCTGGTCCCAGGGTGAGAGACTCTAGTGTTTCTCGGGGGGGGGGGGCTATTGATAATATAGTGAATCTGTAGTAAAAATGCATTATTTCAGTCTTTAAAAATTTTCTCTGCACTTGGGCATATCAGAGGCAAAAAGATTAAAAGTTTTAATAAGGAAGGGTATTTTTACCAGATTTTTGAACATCTGGACCATTTGGTCATGTGTTCTGGTCCTGGCCAGGGCTGTATTAATTTGTATTCTACTGAGAGGAGTTATTCCCCTTTGCCGTTTACTTTTGATAATTTAATCACTGTAAACAATGCACTTGAAAGGTTAATCGATTAAGAGAATTATGCACGAATTTTTATTGTATAATATAAAAAAATATTTTCATAGTTTAACTGATCAGGTAGACTTGTAAGTAATAGATAAATAAAAATGGAACAAAAATAACTTGTCTTATTAAATGTTCATCAAAGACCAAGAGAGGCCAATGTAAGAGATCTCAACAAGAAATTAAAATAGTACAGAAGCACTGATAGTTTTTTAATATACTGTCTAGTGATAGTGATAAATAGGGAACAGATTAGATCCTAATTTATAAACTGTCAATGAATACTAGATTAATTATTTTGTTGATCCTGATCACCCCATTTTTCTTGCTTTTGGGCAACAAAGCTTCACCTTTCAGTTCATTTTATACTCTATGGATCCTCTAAATTGTTGTATTATATTCAGGTGACCGTTAAGGCCCTTGGGCCTCTTGTTCTTAACTAAAATGTCGCTTTATGTGATGTTGTTAGATGTCCGAGAAGCGATGGTATATTCAAACCATCTGATTTTAGTAAGATTGGTTTTTCGGTAAAAGAATTATTCAAAGAAACCAAAACAAAAATCAGAGAGAAAAAAATCATTGTTATAATATACGGGCATTGTTTTTTTTTCTTTCACAATCAAATCGTCTTTCTTCATTACGTTTTTCGGCGATTTCAATTTTTGGACTGAGTAATACTTAGTGAAACTTCGTTTAAATTTTGGTGTCATGCAGCCGTTTAGGTCAGAAGCAAATGAAAAAAAAAATAGTTGCGGGTTAGAAGGTTTCATTATTATACATTTTTGAAGGCAAATAGTTATTAAATACATTAGATTTTTTTTTATTCTTTCAAGACCTTGTCCTCGCTTTTTTTAAAAGTTGTCTGGTCGGTTGAATTATATGTAAGACATATAATGGCACATATAGATATTTATATTGATGTGTGAAAGTAAGTTTTTTTTTTACACGCGTAAATGCACGTATTCTGAATTCTTATTGGCAGAACTATTGTTCCAACCAAAAGTGTTGACAGAAAAAAAATTAAAAGAAAAAACAAGACGTTTCTAACACATTTATTTAAATCAGATTGCTATCCCAAAAAATATGTACATTGCCTGATGTTTGGCTATTACTGATATACAGCAAGAAGATGGGCGAACAAGGCGAGCGAAATGGCTATTAATAGTGCGACATACATGAAGGTGAAAAATCAGATCTCAATTATAACATTTTTTTTTCCTTTGATCTTTTATCTAACATTAAAGTATACTTTATGTAAAATCACGATTTGCAAAAATCTCACAAAAATTGAAATTATTTGACTATGAAATAGCATATACACAAAGATAGCAAAAAGAATCATTTTCCCATATTATAACTTTTCGATGTGAGTGGGTCTTCGCTCGATTTTTTTTTAAAAAGTTTATCCTCAAAGTTTGTGTAAAAGTATACATTTTTCGGTTAACAAAACATGGAGCAAAGACCTACTTCATCTTAAAAATACTTTTATATGACACAGCATTTGCATCTTTCCGATAAATACTTAATTCCATTTAGTCAAGGGTCATACCGGTATCACAAACATGATTTAATGCCACTATTCATCAGGAGTTGTGAGGCGTAGTGGTTAGTGTAACCTCAAAAGAAAATGATACTCAGGATTTTATTGCTACGATTTGAACCCCACGAATACCACATTAATTTTTTAATAAGAGAATAATTTATGGCGAGTGCATTTTCCTCAGTAAAGTTTTGTTTATCTTAACTTCATTAATTTCAAACTGTCACGGTAGCTCAGTCGGTATAGCGATCGCATCGTGATCGAAAGGTCGTTTGTTTGAATCATGGCCGCGGCTGACCTAAGTCGATAAAAAATAGGTAGCAACTGTTCCTTCGACAAGAGCTCGGCACTTTGAAGTGAAAGTTGTGGGTCCTTCAGACGAGACCTTAAAAACCGAGTCCCCGTGTCACGGTAGGCGTTGGCACGATAAAGAACCCCCACTGCTCAATGGCCCTGAGTGTCGAGTAAAGGTCTAAATATGAAATCCTTCACTGGTATATGGTGACGTCTCTATATGAATGAAATATTCTCGAACGGGACGTAAAACAACTCACAATCAAC